TGAATGTTGTTGTACCCCCTACATATCATCATGTATTTTTCTTACCGATTCCTCTTTTTTTCCTTCCTTTAAGGAGACTTCCATTTCTCTGAAACCTTCAATGGAACTCATCTGTTCAACCATAGTCCCTATATTTAGCACTTGCTTTGGAAGGCCACCTTTATCTAGTATGTTTCTGATATCTGTTAGGAGGTAAAGCACTCTTTTTTGGAATTCTGTGTGCAAAAAAAGACACAACTTTAAATAGGCATCACATAAGTTGTGATATCTGCAAAAGGAGAAGAAAAAGCAAGAGTTTATACAGGTATTGGAAAGTTGTGGAAAGTTAAGGACTGATCTTAGTGTTTCTTAGGACCTTGAAAAATTATATTTATTATAAAACATTTACACAAATATTTGACAATTGTTGAGAATTAAATAAATTGCTTTCACTACACATTAGAGTTACACTACTGCATGCCTAAATAATTAATTTTCTGTGATATGATGATGTGATGTGAAAATTTAGATTTATTGGTATGTAAGTAGTGAACCAAGGTTTACTGGAATGTGTACATTCCACCTGCATAGCTCCAAATGAATACAATAAGTAGTTTATATTAAATATGTACACTACAAATTTGTGATTATTTGTTTGAATGTTGTTGTACCCCTACATATCATCATGTATTTTTCTTACCAATTCCTCTTTTTTTCCTTCCTTTAAGGAGACTTCCATTTCTCTGAAACCTTCAGTGGAACTCATCTGTTCAACCATAGTCCCTATATTTAGCACTTGCTTTGGAATGCCACCTTTATCTAGTATGTTTCTGATATCCGTTAGGAGGTAAAGCACTCTTTTTTGGAATTCTGTGTGCAAAAAAAGACACAACTTTAAATAGGCATCACATAAGTTGTGATATCTGCAAAAGGAGAAGAAAAAGCAAGAGTTTATACAGGTATTGGAAAGTTGTGGAAAGTTAAGGACTGATCTTAGTGTTTCTTAGGACCTTGAAAAATTATATTTATTATAAAACATTTACACAAATATTTGACAATTGTTGAGAATTAAATAAATTGCTTTCACTACACATTAGAGTTACACTACTGCATGCCTAAATAATTAATTTTCTGTGATATGATGATGTGATGTGAAAATTTAGATTTATTGGTATGTAAGTAGTGAACCAAGGTTTACTGGAATGTGTACATTCCACCTGCATAGCTCCAAATGAATACAATAAGTAGTTTATATTAAATATGTACACTACAAATTTGTGATTATTTGTTATGAATGTTGTTGTACCCCCTACATATCATGATGTATTTTTCTTACCGATTCCTCTTTTTTTCCTTCATTTAAGGAGACTTCCATTTCTCTGAAACCTTTAATGGAACTCATCTGTTCAACCATAATCCCTATATTTAGCACTTGCTTCGGAATGCCACCTTTATCCAGCTAGTATGTTTTTGATATCAGTTAAGCGATAAAGCACTCTTTTTTTTAATTCTGTGTGCAAAAAAAAATTAACATCACAGCCTAACATAATATTATTATTATTATTATTATTTATTATTATTATTATTATTATTATTATTATTATTATTATTATTATTTATTATTATTTATTATTATTTATTATTATTATTCTATTCTTGATATTGCACATTAGATTGGTGTTGGATTGGAAAAATGTAATTCCATTGGATATTGATCCAATGTTTAATACCAACATTATTATTATTATTTTTATTATTATTATAATTATTATTATTATTATTAACTACTATTTCTACTACTAAACTACTACTACTACAACATTTTGGAATATTTAGAAACAAAATGTCACTAAGAATGATTTTTTTTCAATTTAAACATTTCTGTTTGCAATGTGCAATTATTTAATGCCAACTTAATTCAGTGCTAGTATCAATAAGGATATCCTAATAATAATAATAATAATAATAATAAATATAGGAATTTATGAAGTATGCAATATAATATATTGTGTAATATTTTTTTCACTTAACATACTTGCTTCGGACATCGGATACCCATCAGATCTTCTTTTTTTAGTGAGAGTTGGGGTGGGAAGAAATACTGAGGGTGAACTCGATTGCGAGCTTCCATGATCTGCACTGCTGGGCGACATCAAACTATCGTCCATGTTAACATCAGGTGGTGGAAAAAAATACTGAGGGTGAACTCAATTGCGAGCTTCCATGATCTGCACTGCTGGGCGACATCAAACTATCGTCAGGTGGTGGGGCAGTGACCTGGCACGCGATTCTTTAATTTAAATTAAAATTGGTAAATACTATTGTTACATATTATTTTAATAGAAACAAAATTATTATTAATCTTAATTCCCGATAGATGTATTTGCCACCTTAGGCACACTATGATCGTGAATAGATCACCTATCTACGCAGGGCACGATTTTTCACTAGGCCAGCTTACAATAGCTAGTAAATATTCCTCCGGGCTAGTCATTCTGCCTTCCACATGGCCGAGTAGCCTAACTGTACAGTAGTAAGGCCTAATAAAAATATTGTATTTCACATGGTCATGCTCAACAGCTTTATTTACTTGCACAAATTAAACTGGCAGTTATAAAAAATCAAAATCGTATTGAAAAACATGGATCTTTTTCAATTTAAAAATAAATATGAATTACCCCCAATGTCTTGAAGCTGGATGGGGTGGTGGCGAAGATGGCTGTGGTGAAGATGGTCCCGGTATTAGTGGTGAAGATGGTCCCTCTATTAGTGGTGAAGGTGGTCGTGGTGAAGGTAGTCGTGGTGAAGGTGGTCGTGGTGTATCTGGTCGTCCTAGTGGTGAATCTGGTAGTGCTAGTGGTGAAGATGGTTCCAGTATTAGTAGTGGTGAAGATTGTCCTGGTATTAGTGGTGAAGATGGTTCCAGTATTAGTGGTGAAGATGCTCCCGATATTAGTGGTGAAGATGGTTCCGGTATTAGTGGAAAAGCTGGTTGTGGTTGAGGCCTATTTCTGCAGCGCCTGAAATTCACAAAAATATATGGTTTAAGCTAATAAATAAATGCAATGACTATAGGGGTTCTGGATAAAGCCTAAAAAAATTGGTTTGGTTGCATTCACATTTCATATATTTGAGTATAGGCGGAAAAAGATTTAAATGATATGGCATTAAGAAAGTATAATACATACTCCAAGCATTGAAATACACGCCATCGTGTTGGGATTCAATATTTCGACATTAATTATGTCATCATCAGGAATGCATTTAAAGTCTTTTAATTCACAACAATAAAAATCTTGTTTTTTCGGATTTAATTAGAGTGGTGGATGACGACAAATAGTTTTTTTAGGCCCAATACCCATTGTGAATACCCTGTAAGGCTTCTCTACTCTACTAGATTGTAAACACATGGCAGGTATTCACTGGTGTCTTGTCATGACCTTATTGCTGACCTAAACTGGTTGTGCATTTATCTGCACAACTTGATACTAAAGGTTTTAATAAGTGGACTCCAAGCCTAAAAAGCTTGGCGCTGTATGCGGAACAATGATGCCTAATGGTGTCATAGTTCTTGTTGGCAAATTCAATATTATACCCCTTCGCCCACCCTCAATGAAAACATTTGACTTTTTATTGAATCCAGAATTCACAAATCTCTATCCATTCAGATGGTTAGTATTATCACTGTCGATTTTTGAATCATCTAATCCTGTTCTATGGGTTTCCTGAATCAACATAAAATCTTGACCCCATTTTTTGACATTTATTGCCATATTAATCAATTCCATATCATCTTTGAGGGTCCTAATGTTCAAACTTGCACCTCTGATTTTGGTGAAGTTATTTTTGGTCTTGTTTTTGGAACTTTGAATTGGAGCAATCACTGCTTGATGATACATACAGTTTTTAAACACAGTTTTAGGAACCATTTCAATATCGGAACACGCTTTTGATAATTCTGGCATTGCAGCTGATTAATTCTGCAGAAAGAGCGATAACTTTACTTGATCACCAGAATACAATTTTGAATTTAGCACCACCCGGTGGGAAGTTGAGACTTTGAAGGTGACTTGTGGGTACAAGTGTCTTGGAACTATCAACAATTGCATTTTTCCCACTAGAAAGATAACACCTAATTCCAAAAACGGGAAATAATATCACATTTAACAAAAATATGTTCAATAATTTTTTCATTGGCAAGGCAAAATGTGCATAAATTATTATTTATTTTCCCAATCTTAAAAAGGAAAGAATTTACTCCTAAAATTCTATGTATGATACGATATTGTAGCCATTTTAGATTGGTGTCTTTGGTAGATTTAAATGCGACCGATGAAATTGTTTTCCAATTCGAACCTTCAATTGTTTTACCAATATCTTTTTCCCATTTATCTTTATAAGTTTCTTTATAAGTTAAATTTGTACAGAATATATCATAAATTCTTCTGGACTCCTTTTTTTCTTTTAAAATTTGTTCTAAATTAAATGGAAAGTCTGGCTGATTTAATTTAAAATTAAACGATCTACGACCAGTTGATGTCTTTATTGCTCCAGTAAACCATAA